ACTTGCTCTATGAACCACGGTTCATAGACAAGATTTCTCAGATCCTCTGGGGGTGAGGACAGACTCCTGGTGGGATGTACATGGTCACGCTGTTTCCAACAGGCGCTGTTTGTAGTGCTGCTGCTCGGCTGGCTCTTTGTGCCTGTGTACCTGACCGCAGGGGTCATCACCATGCCGCAGTACCTGCGCAAGCGCTTTGGGGGCCATCGCATCCGCCTCTACCTGTCTGTGCTCTCCCTCTTTCTGTACATCTTCACCAAGATCTCGGTGCGCATGCGCAGGGAGGGGGGGGATGGATGGTCTCCAAGAAGGGTGGGGCAGGAGAGTAGAGTGGAGGGAGGTCTTCCTGAGAAATTGTTCTACCAATCCGACGGGAGACGTGGGCACAGTGGGTGAGATCTGGGAAGGTGAATGGTGTTTGCACTTTTGAAGTGTGAGCAGGTAAGTTGATTGCCTGGCTAGGATTTGGACCTGGATCACTGTCCCTTGACCCTGGGCCCTGACCTTTGTGCCCCTGCTTTTTTCCCCCCAAGGTGGACATGTTCTCGGGGGCAGTATTCATTCAGCAGGCCCTGGGTTGGAACATCTATGCTTCTGTCATCGCGCTCCTGGGCATCACCATGATTTACACTGTGACAGGTGGGCCCAGCACCAGTGTGGTATGGGGGGCTGGTCTGGGCTGGTATTGAAAGCGATGGTGTCATTTAGGGTTGCTACATGGGGTGGTCAAGTTTGGAAGTGTGGGGTCAACTGAGCTTGAACTCTGGGCCTGGGTGCTGTCCCTAAGCTTTTTTGTTCAAGGCTTGTGCTCTACCATTTTGAGCTATAGTGCTTCACTATCCACACCTCCCACAACCTCACTGTCTCCCTACTGTCTTCCTATGCAGAAGCCTAGGTGCCCATCTCGTGCTGGGTTTCAGGGTGGGAAACAAGGAGAAATGGGAAAAAGAATGGACTTGGCCAGTCTGCAAGATCTCTGTTCAAACCCAGTATAGCTCCAAGACCCTCAGGGTGATTCCCAGAAAACATGTCCAACAGTATTGGTGAGCTTGTTGCCAAGATGGCCTCCAAGATGGAGACTTGAACCCCTGAAAATCATCTTGTCCAAGTCAGATGTAGGGGCCCCACAGTGGGGGGGGGGGGAAGATTCTGCTGGTGTGTCTGCCAAGAGGGCACCATAGAGGTTAAAACTCTCCTAAGCCTTTGCTTCTTGCTGCCCAAAGGTATAAATGGACCTCCATTTAACAATCTGCTCTCTGAGGTGGGGTACTTTTCACTATGCTGGGGATCAGGAACTGGGGCTGTCTCCACTGACTCAGGCCTGTTGCAGGGGGGCTGGCGGCGCTGATGTACACTGACACCGTGCAGACCTTCGTCATTCTTGCGGGGGCCTTCATCCTCACCGGTTATGGTAGGGGGCTGGGCCAGCAGAGGACGGGCATGATCATCTCCGGCAGGTGAGGCCCTGGGCCTTAGCACTGATGCCGGGTCCTCTCTTGACGACCTTGCCCACGCAGCTTTCCACGAGGTGGGCGGGTACTCTGGGCTCTTCGACAAATACCTGGGAGCAGTGACTTCACTCACCGTGTCCGAGGATCCGGTTGTGGGCAACATCTCCAGCTCCTGCTATCGGCCAAGGCCTGACTCATACCACCTGCTTCGGGACCCTGTGACAGGGGATCTGCCGTGGCCCGCACTGCTCCTGGGGCTCACCATCGTCTCGGGCTGGTATTGGTGTAGTGACCAGGTGTGCAGCCAGGGCTGGGGGTCCTCCCTCCCTGGATGGAGCAGAGATGAGCTGACCACCAGTCTTCCAACGTGTGGTCAGACGGTGTGGAACTCGGTGAGGGTGGGGCTTAAACACATGGAGCTAGTACCTGGTGGTGGAAATGTTCAAGATGCACTGCAGAGCCAGAGGATGGACACCCACTGGAGTGGGGATGGGAAGGGGTGGCCAGGCCTGAGCGGGAGGGGTCGGCCTGAGCATGGCTCCCCCAGTAGTAGGTTGCCCATCACAGGTCATCGTGCAACGCTGCCTGGCTGGAAAGAACCTGACGCACATCAAGGCAGGTTGCATCTTGTGCGGCTACCTGAAGCTCACACCCATGTTCCTCATGGTCATGCCTGGGATGATCAGCCGCATCCTTTACCCAGGTAAAGTCAGCCCCAGGCTGGCGCCTTGTCCCCCTCACAGACCTTCCAGAATTTGGTACTTGGCCCCGCCTTTCCCTCCAGGGGTCCCATCGTTCTCCTTCTGGGGTTCCCCACCAACCCCAATTCCCAGACCCAGCTCTGTCCTAGCTGCCTTTGGCTGCTTTCTTGTAGATGAAGTGGCGTGCGTGGTGCCTGAGGTGTGTAAGCGGGTGTGTGGCACGGAGGTGGGCTGCTCCAACATTGCCTACCCGAGGCTCGTGGTGAAGCTCATGCCGAATGGTGAGGGCGGGTCCACACCCTGCTGGGCTGGGCAGCTGCAGACTGCCAATGGAGGGTCACCCTTGCAATGCCCACACCTGCCTGGCACCCCCTCCCTCCTTCGGGGGGGGGGGGAAGGGCTGCAGCCTCACGGCTCCCGTTGGCCACAGGTCTGCGTGGACTCATGCTGGCTGTCATGCTGGCGGCGCTCATGTCCTCACTGGCTTCCATCTTTAATAGCAGCAGCACGCTTTTCACCATGGACATCTACACGCGCCTGCGGCCTCGTGCGAGCGATGCGGAGCTGCTGGTAGTTGGCAGGTGTGCCCCAGGCCTCCATCCTGCTCCACCAAAGAACCTGGGTAGGAGCTGGGCGCTGGTGGCTTGCACCTGCAATCCTAGCTACTCAGGAGGCTGAGATCTGAGGATTGCAGTTTGAAGCCAGCTTTGGCAGAAAAGTCCCCATGAGACTCTTATCAACAAGTATGTCCAAAAACTGGAAGTAGAGCTGTGGTTCAAAGTAGTAGAGCCCTAGTCTTGAGCAAAAGAGCTCAGGGACAGCGTCCAAGCCCTGAGTTCAAGCCCCATAATTGACAAAAAACCAAAACTAAAACCAAAGCCAAAAGAACTTGGGTAAGAGCCAGGGCCAAGTGGCTCATGCCAGTAATGCTAGCTATTCAAGAGGCTGAGATCTGAAGATTGTGGCTTGAAGCCAGCCTGGGAAGGAAAAGTCCCTGAGACTCATCTCTGATTAAGCACCAAAAAAGCCAGAAGTGGAGCTGAGGCTCAAGTGGTAGAATGCTAGCCTTACCTCTTAGCCAAAAAACTAAGTGACAGTGCCCAGTCTCTTGAGTTCAAACCGTAGTCCTGGTACTCAAACCCACAGGAGCCTGAGGAAGGGCATCGATCATTGGATAGAAAACCTCTTGTTCTCCAAACCACAGGCTCTGGGTGGTGTTCATCGTAGCAGTGTCAGTGGCCTGGCTCCCAGTTGTTCAGGCTGCCCAGGGCGGCCAGCTGTTCGATTACATCCAATCGGTCTCCAGCTACTTGGCACCGCCCGTGTCAGCTGTGTTTGTGCTTGCGCTCTTTGTGCCCCGAGTTAATGAAAAGGTGAGCAGGGTGGATATTTGCAAGCTTGGCCCCAGGCTCCAGCATCCTGAGCAGGCTGACACCATTTCCCCTGCAGGGTGCCTTCTGGGGACTAATTGGGGGCCTGGTGATGGGCCTAGCTCGCCTCATTCCCGAGTTCTCCTTCGGTTCGGGTAGCTGTGTGAAGCCCTCAGCATGCCCTGCACTCCTCTGCCGGGTCCACTACCTCTACTTCGCCATCATCCTCTTCATCTGCTCTGGCCTCCTCATCCTCATCATCTCCTTGTGCACTGCACCCATCCCACAAAAGCACGTAAGTGCTGACCTCTGGATGGGCAGTCTGGGTGAGCGGGCATGGACTGCACCAACTGCCCCTGCCGCCCTGCTTCAAGGCATGCGCAGTGAGCCTGAAAGTCTGTATTTGAGGGTGGGTAGGAGCAGGTCAGGGGTCTCTCTTGAAGCTGCATTTACACAGCAAGGCCATTTTTTTTATTTAAATGACATTTGTTTGAAATGGTTTAGGAGGAGATACATGGAATGTTTTAGAGGGTGGGTGATGAATGCCCCCCAAAGTCAGCTCTTGGCATAGTCTCTGGAACTCAAATCATAGGCTGCCCTGGCTGGTGAAGTCTGGGTGAGCTGGGTCAGGCTGGGTGTGCAGACTGGATGCGGGGCAGCTTAGGAGGGAATGGACAGGGCTGGCGTGCCCATGGAAACTAAGGGGCCTGTGGCGTGGGGCGGGACAGCAGAACTCCCACTTGGCCCCTGCTCCCACCCCTTCCCAGCTCCACCGCCTGGTTTTCAGTCTCCGGCACAGCAAGGAGGAGCGGGAGGACCTGGATGCTGATGAGCCCCAAGGCCCAGCTTCTCCTCCTGTACAGAACGGATGCCCAGAGCATGCCGTGGAGATGGAGGGTAAGGTGCTGCCCAAGCAGGGGGCCCGGGAAGTCCCGGGGCCCACTCCCTCCAGACTAACTGCTGGCCTTGGTTTCTCTCAGAGCCTCAGTTGCCAGCCCCGGGCCCCTTCCGCCGGTGCCTGCTCTGGTTCTGTGGCATGAGCAGGGGTGGGGCAGGGGGCCCTCCACCCCCGACGGAGGAGGAGGTGGCGGCAGCAGCCAGGCGGCTGGAGGACATCAGTGAGGACCCTAGATGGGCCCGTGTGGTCAACCTCAACGCCCTGCTCATGATGACAGTGGCCGTGTTCCTCTGGGGATTTTATGCATGAGTTCAAATGTGTTGGACACCATGAACCACACAAGCAGGGCATTAAAAAGGCTGTGCCTTGTAAAACGTGGGGATGTGAGGCAGCTGGCAGTGGTTCCCAGAAAAGGGGAAGGGGCAGAGGAAGGGTGGGAAGGGCCCAGGTTCCCTTCTGTCTGCCTGGGGTCCAATCCAGCTCATTGGCAGTCACTTCTCATGAGGTGAGTGGCCAACTGGCCACAGTAATGTGCATGAGCAAAAATAAAGTTGTCTTTCCTCCATCCTGCTGTGGCCATGGACTGCTCACAAGACCTTCTTTTCCAGAGACGGGAGCCATGTGGCCCTCCACTCATCCACCTCCAGATGGTGCTTCTCAGTCTTCCAGCCTGCAGCCTGCAATCCTGGGGAGAGGGCAAGGGGTGTCTGATGCTACACAAGAGCCTGGGCTAGCAGGAGTAGGGGTGAATTGGGGTAGGTATGTAGAGTTACAGGCTGGGGGAAGGGGATGGGGCCCTTCTTGGCTCCTCTGCTGGGTAATCTCTGACAAAATGTAAGGTTGAAACCTCATCTGGTTGCAGCCAAAATCTAGAGATTGCACATGGATAGGGGGTGGACTAGAGAAACATGAAAGGTCATTTTCAAACTGGGAGCTAGTGGCTCACGCCTGTAATACTAGCTACTTAGAAGCTTGAGATCTGAAGATTGTGGTTTGGAGCCAGCCCAGTCAGGAAACTCAGTTGAGACGCTTATCTCCCTTGAGCCAGCAAAAAGCCATAACTGGAGCTGTGACTCGAGTGGTAGAACACCAGCCTTGAGAGATAAAGCTAAGGGATAGTGCCCAGGCTCTGAGTTCAAGCTGAGTATCAGCACAAAAGGGGAAGGGAGAGGTCATTCTCAGTAACTCGAACTCCTAAATGCCAACTTGGATTACGTATCAAAGCTAACATAGCCTCAAGAGATCGGTCTAACTTCCTTAATCTATACAGGAAAACAGTCCCAGATTTCATCCAGGTCACTCATCTCCCAGGTGAAAGCACAGAATAAAGACAGGGCTGCAGCCTGAAGGGCTCAGGGCTGTGAAGTTGTAGGGCTGATGTTACCTTTCAAAAACTCTGGGAATAGCTTGTCCAGCACTTGGTATGTCTCCCTGACAATGGCACCGCCATCTTTCTCAGGACCTGTCAGGGGTGGGTGCAGAATCAGCTCTGGTGTCTTCAGTGGGACAGCCAGCTCATCTTCCCTCCACCCCACAGTGTGGACATGAGGCTCTTACCTGCCTGAACTTGACTTCTCAGCTCCTCCAGCTCTCCTGGAAGGGGTCCATCTTCCTGCAGAGCTCCAAGCACCAAACCATGTGTAGCAGCCCTTAGGACAGTCTCAGGGCCTGCCATCTGGCTCAGAACCACCTGTACCTGGTCTGGAGAGACCCGAGGGCAGATAAATAGCAGGGAAGACCCATGTCCTCAATACTCAGCCCTTGCGCTCTGTTTTACCTATCTGCCCCAAGGCCTTAGTGAGGAATGCAAGGTCCTTTCCCCATTTCTCCTTTCCAGCTTCTCCTGCTGCTTCTCATCTCTCTAGCCAAACTGAAATATTCAATTTCTAAATATAACTTTCTACCAGCACACGGCAGAGGGCTTCTGCTGGTGAGAATGAACGCCTTTCAACATGCCATGGCAAAACAACTCAGGATGGGAGAGCAGAGTCCCCCCTCACCGACAGCCAACCTCAGTGTAATTTGAATGTGTCCCAATGGAGAGTGTTTGCACACAATCCCAGGACATTATCTCAGGTAATAAGGCAGCTATTGTGAAACAGGTGCAGTGAATTTCACTGGGGCAGGCAGCATGTAACTTGGGTGGGTCAGTGTAGTCTACAGCAGCCTTCAAACTGTCCCCTGAACTTGGGCCCTGGAGCTGGAGGGGGTCTCAGGCTGGGAGAATGTGGATTTACTCACGTCGTGATGGAGTCCAGCGAAGGAGGTAGGGCTCCTGGTGCCCTTCTACCAGCTGCTGCAGCTCAGACACACTGGCAGGGAGAAGATTGCAGTGGGCAGGGGAAACAAGGCAGAAGGACCCACCTGGCCAAGCTGTTAACCCTAACTGTTCACATACCCCAGCGGTTCCTTAGATATTGCGGGAACCCCCACATCCATCCTTCCCTTCTTCCTATATACAGTCATCCATGACCACCCACCAACCTTCCTTCATCCAACCCCTTACTTATGCTCTGCATTTGATGCCCCCTGCATCCCTCAAGTACTCATGCTGTCCCCCAAGTTTGTATCTCAAATAGGGAGATGGGGGTTGGTGAGGGGGGCTACTAAGGGAGGCAGGAAGGAGTGGGAGGCTCTGGGCCACTCACCTGGAAACCAAGCAATGTAAGGGAACCCCCAGGGACAGAGACAGAGATGGCCCGAAACCTGTGGGAGGCTGGAGTCAGGAGGCCCAGGCATGGAGAAATTGAGGAGACATAGGAAATGACACCAAGGGGCTGGGTCACCTGTCCACAGTGGCTCCATCTGATTGGCTGAAGCTGGGTCAAGTATCTCTCCCTTCTGAAGGAAGTGCTTCAGGACCAGCCAGAGCCGGTTTTCATTCAAGGTCTCCATGACAAGGGCCCGGACTGCCCGGTAGTTGGCATAGATGTGGAGGGCCGTGAGGAGGAAGAAACATCCGAGGCTGAGGCTGGGACAAGACAGTAGGTAGCCAGGGAAGAGGCCCAGCTGGTGGCCTCTTCACCCGCCATGCTCCTGGGCTTACCTAGGGCAACCCGACACCAGAGGTAGCATCAACAGGCTCACCAGGAGTCCTGCTAGGTTCACCAGTGTCTCCTAGAAAATGGCACACAGGTCCAGAGTTGGAGGGCTCCCCTCCACAACTTTCCAGATGCTTCCTAACTGATGGGATGTTAAATAACTTTTAGTGTTTTAGGTGAGTGAGCTGCCATTAAAAGACTGCTATATCTTCCTTTGCCTAGGTAGACACAGCTCCTTAGGACAAGTCTTCTTTGGCTTGCAAAAGGGACCAGGGAAGCCCATACTCAGAACTCCATGTGGGTAGCTAGTTTTCAACAATGGTTCAAACAGGGGCCTGTCTCCTATCTCTTGGTACTCATTAACTGGCAAACAACTGCAAGGGGGGGCCTAGGAACCACCTGGGAGGAAAAGCAACAGACCCAAACCTCTTCCTGTGTGAATCAATGCCACTGCAACCCTCTGATGACCGGACTGGGTAGGCTATGGGAATCAAGGCAAGAATCAAGGGCCTCGGGAGCTCAGGAGGAAAGTCGTCCTGGCCAGGCTGCCCTGTTCCTGCCTCACTGGGGAAGCCCTGGGGCTTTGGGATCCGAAACTGGGAAGTAGGAGGTCTGTGTGTGTGTGTGTGTGTGTTGGTGGTGGGGAACAGGGCTGACACCAGTGAGAGGGGGCGCTAAAGACAAGGGCCTGGATTATACATATTACTCCCACTTTGCACACTGTGAATCTCAAGCTGGGAGAGACCTTGGGACAGAAGTAGTTTTGGAGAGAAGGCACATGCCTGAGGCACTCTGGTGGCCTGGACTTCTCCGTGCTTTAGATCTCCTGTCATGCTGTAAGCACTGGATGAGCTCACAGAAATAGTTGGCATGACGTCACATGCTTGACCAATATTTGCTTCGTTGTTATTATTATTATTATTAAGAAAGAATAAAAGAAGACTGGAAGGCAGGACTAGCTAGGATAGAGGATTTGAAGCTGCTTTAGTGTCAGAGAAAACCTCCCATTCCCAGGGCCTCACTCTCATCTCTAAAGCATCTCTACCTGACAGGGTTAGGGTGAGTTACAGGGTGTCTCTCACACAAGCACTCAGCACAGGGGTTTGGGGAGTGGTTACTGCACAGTTCAGTCTTAGAGATGTCCTGTTCCAGGCTTGTTGGGTCAGGTGGAGGGGCGAGGCACAAGGCCTGCTACACTGATAAGTGGAGGCTTCTGGCCAGTGACCCACAGCCAAGTACCATGCACCTGCCCACAAGGGTCTCATGTGGTCGGAGTCCTCAGCCCCCAGGGTAGGGCTATGGCCTACAGAGCCTTTTCTGGGCCATCCTAGCAATGGGAAGGGGGTGACATGGATTTTCTGCCACCAGAACCATGCCAATAGACCTAACCTCATATTCTGGAGGTCACAACAGGGGACACTTATGCTTCTTCTTGCCCTTTCCCAGGAGCATTTACGATATTTTCCTTCATATCCCCCATTGTGGCCTGTCCTGTCCCCTCCTCCCCACTTTTCCCCTCTTACATACCATCCTTGGTCCCAGCTGCTTACCTGGCTGCTGTCCTTGGCCGACACATCAGCCATGTTGTTTCTCCGGGCCTGGTGCACAGTCAGCGCAGCCCTTGTGGCCCCACCAGCCACGCTCACAATGCACTGTGGGGAGAGAGGGAGGGTGAGGGTGGGTGGGCCATGTGCTATAGCAATACAAGCCCTGGGAATCTCTCCCTGAGATCTCTGGTGGGAAAGCTCACCTATGAGGGTCACTCATTGCTATGTGCATGCAGTTTTCATCAAGCCTCTTTCAGATGCTTGACAGGTTAGGGTGTGGTAGTACAAGTCAGACAGGGGCCCTGCCCTCATAAAATTTATGGATAGGGGGAGGAACTAGCTTGCTCAGTCAAGAGGAAAGTGGTACAAAATGAGGCTGGAGTGACTGGCATGTCCTGTCCATGTGCAGACTTGATAAGATCTTTGTGTGTGTCTGTGCTGGTATAGGGGCTAGAACTCAAGGCCTAGGTGTTGTCCCTTAGCTTTTTTCATTCCATGCTAGCACTCTCCATTTGAGCTACACCTCCACTTCCAGCTTTTTGGTGGTTAATGGGAGGTAAGCCTCACAGACTCTCCTGACTGGGTTAGCTTCGAACTGTGATCCTCAGATCTCAGCATCCTGAGTAGCTAGGATCATAGTCTGAGTTGGGATACTTGTAGCTGCCATTCCATAAGTACCTGTGTGGCATCCTTTCACAGATGGGAGAGGGGAACTGTGTTCTATCCAAACATGTTCTTTTTCTCAAAGTCTGAGACCTAGCCAGGAAGCTAGTCCCCAAATGTGGACACAGGACTCACACCACCCTCTCCATCCATGACGGCAGGCACACTGCTGAGGGCTGGCTGAGGCCTCGGAGATACACCTAAACTTTCCCATTCTTTTACAAGTGCCCTGAGTATGGAGCCCAGGGGTGCACCATCAGGGCAAGTATCTCAGCATGGGGTGCTCCAAAGGTGGGTACCTTGGCCAGGTTGCTGGTGCTGACAGTCATTGTGAAGCAGATTGGGTAGATGGGAGCCATAATCTCCAGGAACATGGCTATATCATTGAGGATGTCAGCAAAGAGCCTGGGGAAGAACCAGGGGTTAGAGGTCAGAGACAAGAGATTTTCACAAGAGAGAGCTGTCCTCCCTTCCCTTCATCCCAGCATCTGCTCACCTCCACTGCTTTGCATTACAGTCCAATTTGCTCCTGTGGGGACAAGAGCTTGTTATAATTTAGAGTGAAGGAAACATGTACAGGCACTGTGTGGGGAAAGACACATAACTCCAGCCAGACACCTGTCCTCATACACTGTCACTGCCTGAAATGCGTCCACTGGCTGGGAGGATGCAGTGACCCTTGAGTGTTTTGAGTGTTTCCCCCTTACTAATACACAACTTACTAAACCGATGTTTGGTGGCTGCTCTCTCTGCTCTGGTACTCTCCCCCTGGGATGCGCTAGCCTCTCTTCCTCCTATTTCATTGAGGGTTCCCACCAAAAAAGTCCATAGTCTTGGGACAGACAAACTTAACACTAAACTGGGTATAACCCCGCACATTACAGATAACCAGCCAATGCTCCCTGGGCTCCTGTGGACAGTGGGGTGGGGGAGGCCAAGACAAAGAGCTGGACCCCAACATTCAGGCGTGGGATATTCAGCTACATAACCCTGCAGATAGCCACTTCTGTCTCTGTGCCAGGTAGCAATTTCCAGGTCAAGGGGCTTGGGCAAGTAAATTCTCCTCTTTTTAGTGTGTTTCACAACTTTAAAATGTACAGCCAATCCCACCCTGTAAAACTGTGGCAGTGGTTAGACACAGTATAGAATGCTGTGGAACACAGCTGGAGCTCGTTTATTGAGTACTTACTACCATGCAACGCACTAAGCAAGCTGCCAACTCTCTCAGTGAACTTGAAATGAAATGTGAACTTACAATGAAATGTGGATACACACACACACACACACACACACACACACACTGTTAGTTGTGGGCTTAAACTCAGGGTCTGGAAGCTGTTTCTAAGCTCTTTGGCTCAAGGGTAGTGCTCTACCACTGTGCGTGGCTCAAAGTGTTTGAGTGGTTAACTGGAGATGAGTTCCATGGGGACTTGTCTGCTCCGACTGGCTTCAAACCACAATCCTCAGATCTCAGCCTCCTGAGTAGCTAGGATTATAAGCATGAGCCACCAGTGTCCCATGCCGATAGTAGTTTTTAAATCATTCCTATGGGCATACTGCCAGAAGCTGGCTGACTGGGAAGACTCACCCCTTCCACCAGGCAAAGACGATGCGGCCCAGCATGCCAGCTGAATCTGTGGAAGAGAAGGTCCTGGTAAGGACAAGGGAGACAGTGCCTGGCAGACCCTGGCACTGAGCTCTGCTCTTGGGCACTCAGGCCTCCTATGACATGCTTAACCAAGCTGGACTCAAGGGAGATGACTAAGAACTTAGCTAGACACCTGGAATACCTTTTCCTTCTGATTTTCAGTCTCAAGAGGGACTGTTCTCTTTCATAGACAAGTCAGCTGAATTTCAAAGACAAGAGATGGATAAAATGGGGACATCTGTAAGAAAATTGGAACCTCCAGCTTCTTGGGAAGACTAGGGGGATGTGGCAACACTGGGTTTGCCTTACCTCACCATCATCACTAAAAGGGGCATGTATACAAGCTCCCAGACAGCCAGCTCTCCTCCATCTCTATCCTGTGAGGTCCTGGGGCTTTATAGGCCCACTTCCTGTCACTCACCTAACCTCTTCTCTCCATGCACATTATATTCTAAATAAAGTTCTCATTGCTTTACTTAACAGTAGATCAACTAGTGACTTCGAACACATGAAGATTGCTTTTACTGCTTAGTGGGAGCCCACTGGACCAGACTCCATTATTCTTGCCTTTGGTGGCACACTTATATATCCAACCAGATGTGTTGGGGCCACCTGTGGATCTTTGAGGCAGTCTGCAGGGCCCTTGTGAGAATCTGGAGGTTGACACTAGGCTGCACTGACACATACCCTCTACTATCTCAAAGTTGCATTGCCCATCAGAATAGGAAACAATTCCTCTGCCACACAATGATCAAAGAGTAGGACCTACAAACTTTTGAATCTTACTAACAAATCAGCTAGCTACAAATTATATTCAGTGCCAGAGTGTGGTAGGTAAGGGTGGATAGGGAGGATGTTTGTGGTAGCTACATGGGAGGTGCATATTGTGACACTGGAGTTGAGGCCAGACCAGGAAAAAAGTTTGCAAGATCACATCTTAACAAGCAAGCCAGATGTGGTGATTCTTCCTCTGTAATCCTAGTTACATAGGAGTTATAGAAAGGTTTTGATCTGATGCCAGTTGGGCATTATGTATGAGACCCCCCCTCTGATAAATGATGGCTGGAGGTGTGGCTCAAGTGGTAGTGAACCTCTACTTCCAAGCTTTTTGCTGATTAATTAGAATTAAGAGTCTCAGGGATTTTCCTGCCTGTGCTGGCTTCAAAGTATAATCCTCAGATCTCAGCCTCCTGAGTAACTAGGATTACAGGCATTAGCTATGCAAATTTTCAAAAAAGCTGCATATACTCAGTGAATGGTCGCTATGCTTATTTACAGCATCGTTACAATTCTGGATGCAGACTCTCTGTATGTGGATAGAGTCATTTTTCATGGCCTCCAGAACCTCCTTTCTCCTACTCAGGACCAACTCCATCCTCGAATTCCCTGCAACCTAATCATCTGGCTAACAGTTTTAGCTCATGAACTTGCACAAAAATTCTATTCTAAGGATGGGCTGAGGAGAAGAAGACTTGCTCCTGTATTTCCATCAGGGCGCAGAGCTGGAGGCCACATCGCTGCTGCTGCTGGTTAGGGAAAAAAAAAAAAAAAAGAGGCCAGGGCCCCGATCCACAGGTGGCCCCCCCCCCCAGGTTGCCAGCTCACCTTTTACCAGCCAGGTGGCGGTGGCGGCTGACACCGAGGCTTTCGCGTTCCCCACCCCCAGACCCAGCAAGACGGCCTGGGTGGCCAGGGAGCCCGAGAGGCTGGAAGCAAAGGCCTGGAGAAAAAGAGGGGGGGTGGTGGTGGAGGTGGTGGTGAGGGTTTGCAGGGAAGGAGGGTGGGAGAGGGTCTGGGGCGGCCAGGGAGGGCGAGGGTCTGGGGCGGCCGGGGGGGGGGGGGGGGGTCGAGGGTCTGGGGCGGCCAGGGAAGTGGGGTGGGGGAGGGTCTGGGGCGGCCAGGGAGGGGGGGTGGGGGAGTGTCTGGGGCGGCCAGGGAGGGGGGGTGGGCGAGGGTCTGGGGCGGCCAGGGGGGGGCGAGGGTCTGGGGCGGCCGGGGGGGGGGCGAGGGTCTGGGGCGGCCAGGGAGGTGGGGGAGGGTCTGGGGCGGCCAGGGAGGTGGGGGAGGGTCTGGGGCGGCCAGGGAGGGGGGGGGCGAGGGTCTGGGGCGGCCAGGGAGGGGGGGGGGCGAGGGTCTGGGGCGGCCAGGGAGGGTGGGGGCGAGGGTCTGGGGCGGCCAGGGAGGGGGGGGCGAGGGTCTGGGGCGGCCAGGGAGGGGGGGGGCGAGGGTCTGGGGCGGCCGGGGGGGGTGGGGGAGGGTCTGGGGCGGCCAGGGGGGGGGGGCGAGGGTCTGGGGCGGCCAGGGGGGGGGCGAGGGTCTGGGGCGGCCAGGGAGGGGCGAGGGTCTGGGGCGGCCAGGGAGGGGGCGGTGGGCGAGGGTCTGGGGCGGCCGGGGGGGGGGAGGGTCTGGGACGGCCGGGGGGGGGGCGAGGGTCTGGGGCGGCCAGGGGGGGGGCGAGGGTCTGGGGCGGCCGGGGGCGGGCGAGGGCCCGAAGGGGCGGCGGGTGCGGGGCTCCGCGCTGGCCCCCACCTGCACCGAGTCCCACAACTGGTAGGGCAGGTAGTCCGCGCTGACGCTGTCGGGGAAGCCCTGCGGCAGAAACACGGCCCCGAGGCCGGCCAGGGGCGGCGCGGCGGGCCCGGGAGCCCCGTGCGCGGCCCCGCTCGGGCCCGCGGGGGCGGCGGGCGCCGTCGCCCCGGGCGGCCGCCCCCAGCGCCAGCCCGCCGCCTCCCACTGCAGGCGGCCGTCCGCGGCGGCGCGGCAGCCCCGCGCGGCTCCCGACCCGAACTTCTCGGAGCACAGCGGGTCCCCAACGCCAGCCCCGTCCGCCATCGTGGCGCTCCTCCCGGCCACTCGACGCGTGGCGGCGGCGGCGGCGACACGGAAGTGCACTTCCGGCCCGGCGACGGCGACCGCAGGGGGCCAATCGTGTGCACTTCCGGCCCCGGGTATGGCGACCGCGGGGGGACAATCCTCTCCCGCCACACGGACGCTCGCCTCTGTGCTGCCCCTTGTCCAGCCGGGAGAGCTGGTCACAGCATCCCCCGGGGCTCCTGCCCCTCTTCCGACATCCCTGCGATACTGTAGACTTAGAAAAGAAGTTCTTTGTAACATTTGGTAGCAATGAGGGTCTTATCAAGACACCACCTACAGCTTCCAGTAACAGCTTTCCAGAGAAGGAAAAAAGGCGTCTTTAGGGAGAATAGTTGTATTTGAGATCTCATTGGACCACCTAAGTTTCATCTGAGGTTCCTTCCTAGCTATGGGGCCAGGGATAATATATTTATTTTTACTTTGTCTTATTTTGGATGGTCTTTCCTCTTAGGTAGGCCCAGGTTAGTCTGGTACTTGTGATGGAGAGCAGGCAGGCAGAGAACTCTCCATCTTCCTGCTTCTGGCTTCTGAGGGTTAGGATTACAGGTGTATGCCACTAGGCCCAGTTTATTTTTACTCTTTATTCCTAGTACTACCTGATTCGTGGTAGGAGTGCACAGATGTAGACTAAATGAATACATGATGGGAAGAAATTGGTCAAGTTAATCCTGGAGGCCTGTTAAGGTAAAACCTAAATAAGCCGCCTAGCTTCACTTGCTTTTAGCTGACATTAAAAATTACTAATTTGGGCCATGTACTGGTGGCTCACACCTGTAATCCAAGCTACTCAGGAGGCTGAGATCTGAAGATGGCCATTCCAAGGCAGCCCAGGCAGGAAAGTCCATGAAACTCTTATCTCCAATTAACCCCCAAAATGCTGGAAGTGGAGCAGTGGCTCAAATGGAAGAGGGCTAACCTTGAATGAAACAGCACCCAGGCCATGAGTTCAAGTCCCAGGACTGGTACAAAAAATTTTACTAATTTGGGAGGTCATAGAGCTGAGCAATATTAGTTTCCCATTAGCTTTTCTGTAGATACCACCTCTGATGTGGGCATTAGGGTGATAATGTCTACCTAAATTACGTTTTAGAGTCTTGAAGTTCACTTTTGCTGAAAGTACTAACTCTTAGGTTTACAGTTGTCTGCAAGATGATTAAGACAAGGCTGAAAACTTTGCATGTTATTCAGGACTTAACAAAGGTTCTATCGAAGGTTGATTGGACCTAAATATGTCTAACGTTCCTCTTCCTCTCCAAGGGTGAAAACACCAATATAAGAATACCTAAGAATACCTATCATTTCCCTGCTGTTCCTCCTTTTCCTCCATATAAAGCCCTTTCACACTCCTGAGTTCCACAAGACCTCCTCTTCCTTCTTTTTTTTGGGGGGGGGGAGGTGCTGTCCCTTAGCTTTTTTGCCCAAGACTGGCATACTACCACTTGAGCCACATCCCCACTTTTGGCTTTTTGGTGGTTGAAGATGAGAGTATCATGGATCTGACTACTGGAGCTTTGAACTCAGGGTCTTCCATTTGCTAGGCTGGCTTGTTCTGTTGGTGCTCTACCACTTGAGCCACATTTCCATTCTGTTTTTTTTGATGGTTACTTTGGAGATGGAGTGTCTTAGACTTTTCTGCTTGTGCTGACTTGAAACTACGAGCTACCAGGTCCCAGCCTGCTGAGTAGCTAGGATGACAGGTGTGTGAATCACCAATGCTTGACTTCCCTCCGTGGCCTTTTTAAACCAGCAAATAAAATTATCTTAGTTTTTAGCTTGACATTCTTCATCTTCTCTGACCCATGTGGCCCCAGCTGACAACTCGATACTTGAAGTTTCTGATTCTCCCAAACTATCACTTTTCTCAGGAACATCAGCTGGGAACTCCCTTTCTTGCCATCCTTACCTTATCTGATACTTACAAGGAGTCTTTGGGCCTGAGATAAAGAATATTTTACTTAAAATTTTTTTGAAATTTTGAGTTTCCTGGTAGAGTGAAAAATAAAAAGGTAATAAAATTGTGTTACAATTTAACTGTTAGCCTCTGTGAGTGTACTAAACTCTGACACCAACCTTTTGTTTTTTTTTTTTTTTGTTAGTCATGAGGCTTGAACTCAGGCCTGGGTGGGCACTGTCTCTGAACTCTTTTGTTCAACAGCTCTTTTGTTCAAGGCTAGTGCTTTACCATTTTGAGCCACAGCAATACTTCTAGTTTTCCGGTGGTTAATTGGAGATAAGAGTCTCATAGACTTTCCTGTCTGGGCTGGCTTTGAACTGTGATCCTCAGATCTCAGCCACCTGAGTAGCTGGGATTGCAAGTGTGAACCACCAGCACCTGGCTGAATGAATGAATTTTTGTGAATGAATTCCATCTGAAGGCCCCTGCTTGTAGGTTCTGTTCATGGTTATAACTGCAAGCTGGGGGTAACTTATTTCTTTGGCCTCAAGTTTTTTCAGTCAGTGTAGCATTTATTTAGCTATTAATATGCTACTTGAAGCCAGCTTATATTTGCTTTTTAAAAATTACCTTTCTTTAGTTATATGGAAAAGGATTTCATTGTTGCATTTCTGTTCATATTGATAATATGTTTGAATCAATTCATATTTGCTGTGTGTGTGTGTGTGTGTATGTGTGTGTGTAAGTGCTAGTACTGAGGCTTGAACTCAGGGCTTGGGTGCTGTCCCTTAGCCTTTTTGCTGGTGCTCTACCACTTGAGCCACACCAACATTTCCAGCTTTTTGCTGGATGTGATCCTCAGATCTCAGCCTCTTGAGGAGCTAGAATTACCGGCAAGAGCCAACAATGCCTGACTTCTTTTTTGTTTTTGTTTTTGTTTTGAGATACAGTCTCATGTTGCAGGCCAGGCTGGCCTCATACTTAAGATCTTCCTTCCTCAGCCTCTCCAGTGCTGGGGTTACAGGCATGTACATTATGGAGCACATCTGGTCGAGCCCTGTTCTCTCCTCTTACAGACTTCATCTGCAAAACATACTTATGAGGATACACACTTGACAACAGTACCTGACATACATGAACGAAAGTTGCTTCCCCCTTCCCCCCCCTCCTTTTTTTGGATACAGGGTCTTCCTATGCAGCCTGGCCTGGTCTTGGACTTCTGATGTCACTTGTACTGCTGTTTCATGTGGATTTGGAGAATGACTGTCATTGCATTGTGGCCCAGCGGCTCAGTAAATGTTTCTTTTGCATTTGGTGGTGGCGGGCAAGCTGCTCCTGGTTTGGTTCTTGCGTTTATCTGTATCTTGCGGTCTCTCTATCTTTCTAGTTCCAGGAGCCTCACCACCCTCTTTCTCCACTCCAGGTTGACCTATCACACTCACCCAGCGCCCAGATGTAGGGCGTTTCCTTCTTAAGCTGACAATTGACTCCTTGCCCACATCTAGCTCCACACAGCACACATCCAGACCCTGACTGGCGTGTGTGAGACGGACAGGACACTGCTGGATTTGAAGGTGAGCGCTCCATGGGAGAATCTCAGAGCAGAGCAGAGGTTTGGGAGGTAAGATTCTTGCAGGAAACAAAGGGCCTTTAAAAGGGGGCGAGGGAAAATACTCAAGGGTGAGGGGACAGGATAATTACATCCCACCTCTTTCTCTAACCAGGATGATGGCCCTGCTCCCAGCCAATAAGGACCTCATTTCTAAAGGAGTGAAGGAATTCAGTGTTCTGCTGAATCAGCAGGTAAGCTTGGATTCTCTGTTCCAAAAGGCAGGGCTGGAGAGAGTGTGTGTTGGGTGAGGACAGTAGAAAATGATTCTTCTTTGAATATGATGCTGCAAGGGTAATGGTGACATTGAGGAGAAGCTAGAGACAGCGAATTCAAAGCAGAGAAAGGAGGATGTGAGAATCTGTGGAACTTGCTCTTCTCTTCCTTCCTTCCTTCCTTCTATCCTTCCCTCCCTCCCTTTTTCCCTTCCTCCTTTCTTTCTTTCTTTCTTTCCTCCTCCTCCTCCTCCTCCTCCTCCTCCTCCTCCTCTTTCTGCTTGGTACTGGGGCTTGAACTCAGGGCCTCACACTTGGCTTTTATGCCCAAGGTGGATACTCTACCACTTGAGCCACACCTGCACTTTGAGCTTTTTGCTGCTTAATTGGAGATAAGCTTCTCACAGACTTTTCTGCCTGGGCTGGCTTTGAACTGTGATCCTCAGATCACAGCTTCCTGAATAGTTAGGATTACAGAGGCCCGAGCCCAGTCATCAGCAATGGGCCACCAGTACCCAGCCTATTCTGGCATTCCTGAATCAAATTACTCACCACATTTCCCCTTGCCAACTCCCTCCCTCCTACCGCAGGTCTTCGAGGATCCTCTTGTGTCTGAGGATGACATGGAAAGAGTGGTGAATGACTGGATGAACATCTACATCAATTATTACAGCAAGCATGTTGTAGGAGAGCCTCAGGAGCAAGATACAGCTCTGAAGGAACTTCAACAGGAGCTGAAGTCTCTGAGCAGCCCTTTCCTGGACAACTACAAGACCTTCCTGAAATCTCGGGAGCATCCAAATTAGGCATCACCTTCTCCTAGCTCTTCAACTCTCCAACACCCCTAAACCCTGTCTCTGTGTGTTTTATGTGTTTCATTATGGCATTACTTTACAGTGACACCCCAATAAAGACCAAGACTGGTTTTTTGCTAAACTTCTGGCTCTTTTTCTACTGTCCTTGCTTTTGTGAAGGCTGTTGGTCTGTTTTCCTTCAATCCTTTTTAGCTGAGACCTTGGAGAATGAATTCTTTACAGTAAAGGTAAGCAGTACTGGGCAGTACTATCATAGGAGAGAAAGTGCTGGAACAGGGGTGGGGAGTGGCAGAGGCAGAAAAAAAGAAAGAGTGAGAAAAACCTTCCAGAAATTGTGGTCCTGTGACCGGTGTACCTAAAAAAAAAGTTGTTGCAGGTCTGTTCGTCTGGCTGTAGGTCTATGGTCTCCATACTTCAATCCCCTTACCTTAGCTAA